AGGTCTCCATGACTGCAGAAGTTAAAATAACATTCTCGGCGGGATGGCTCCCCTGAAGCTTCCTTCTCAGGGCATCTTACTCAATTTGGGGATGCTGTGGTGGGGTCAGGCAGTGGTCTTCCACCTGATGTCAGGCAATTCTGTCAGAGTATACACACCGGTCATTTACCTACAACCACAGTGAGGGCTGGGTATATCTAGGGATCTAATCCAGCACCTCGTTTTATAGAAGAGGAACAGAGTCCCTGAGAATAGCATGCCTGAGGACACAGCAGCAGCAGGGATCCACCCAATTCTCAGTCCAGTGACTCAGTTCTTCACTCTGCCTGGTTACCCTGCTCAGAAATGGCCAGAATCTTCCCTTCCCTCAGGCACTAAATAGACTGAGCTAGACACACACCCTCTTATGACAAGTAGGGACCCATGCTGGATGAGCTCCTGTAGAGCAGTGGTCCCACCCCTCTGGCTGATCCTGTGAGCATGCTCACTTTACTCGGGGACCACAGCCACTCCCAGGGACTTTCAGAGATGACTCCCCAGCAACGTGGCCCCATCCTTACTCAAGATGGGCCAGGCATGTTGGCACAGGTTTTTAGGCCAAAGCAAGGTGAATCACCCAAAGGGCAAGGTTCTCAGCTTCCTCTCCCTTTAGATATAGCCCTGGGCTCCCCGGGAGAGAGAACAGGCAGATAGAGACCAGGGAAGAGAGATAGTCGCTTGCTTGAACTTCAAGGGAGGGAGGAATTGCCTGGCACCACCTTCAGGAAAGCAGGAAAGGCTTGACCCTGGCTAGAGCTTGGAGTCCCTAAGACACGCGAGCCAAGCCTCAGAAAATGGAAGCCAGTAGGAGAAATGCCACCATCAGGGCAAGGATGAGGTCTGGTGCTCTGCCACTAGTCCGGGTCTTATAAGATTCCTCTGCTCCCCACTGTCAAGCAGCTACCTATCCACCCCACTGCTGCTCTTTCTGCCATGCAGGTGGGGAATTGCTCTCACCTTGTCAGAGAGACTGAGGCACAGAAAAATAGCAAAGGGTTAAGGACAGTTCCAGAGGCAGGGGTCTAACCTTCTCACCCTTCTACTGCCCAGAACTTCAGAGAGCTAACAGTAGCAAGGGGGCCCTTCTTGTATGTCATTTTAAATGTCTAAATATGCATTGTTATGCACAAGTGTGGAAGTCCATAAATCTAGATGATCCACATCATAATATTTGAGTACTGTTATGGAAATATAAAATGTCAAATTCTTAAAATGCCTTTTCTCGTTCTCTGGTGCTGGTGGCCTGGGCGTGTGTCCTTTCTGGTCACTGGGGATTCAAATCTGCTAAGCCACCACGGAGGCCAACACTTCCCCTCTGAGGACCCCTGAACCCGCCTCTGCCTCAACTTGTTGCCAGAGTACCAGGCCATGCAGCCCAGCCAGGAAACAGGGCCCCCGCCACACAACTTCCCCTCCTTCCCCCTGTCCCAGAACCTCAGCCAACTCCCTGATAGAAGTCTGGGCGGGTTTGTGGGGAGAGAAACAAGGGAGTGCCAGCCAGGCTGACCTGTGACCTGGTCTGTTGAAAGTCACTGGTCCTGTTAAAGGGCTTCCTTCTAACATCCTCTTTCCAGCCTCACCCAAGAGAAAGGGAAGTGGCAGCCTAGCTGATGTGAGGCATATGCCAGGTAACAGCCCCTGAACAGAACACAGAGGCACAGGTGGGCTGCATGCCAGAAGCATGTGGTTAATTTTCCCTGCTCACCAGTGAAATCAGTACTTGCTGGGCATTTACAGTGTGCCTGGCACTGAGCCAACTGTGCATTGCTTTATGTAGTATTTATTTTTTGAGATAGTGTCTTACAGTGTAGCCCTAAATGGCCTTGAACTTACTATCCCGAGCTGGTCTTGAGCCAGAGGCTCTCCAGCCTCCTCCTCCTGAGTGCTGGGATCACAGGCATGCACTACCACACTCTGAACGAATTTGCCTGTAGTCCTGAGGGTCCTGTGAAAAAACAAACAAATAAACTGAGCCTCAAAGATGTTCTGTGTCCTGTCACCTAGTAGGGTCAGGGTTAGAAACATTCTCTACCTCAAGTCCTGTGAGCAATACATGATTTTCTTGATTGAGACACTAGGGCCCCTTTAATCCCATATGTGTCCGAAAATGATGTGTATTTACAAAGGGAAAGAAGAAAACAAGAGTGCTGAGATGTTAATAAACCAGCAGAGAAACAGCAAGGCTGGTGTGGGAAGTGGTCTGCTGTCCAGAATAAGAGCTCCTTACGGAAAGTGTCTGTTTTAGTAAAGTCTTACAGTTGAGGTTGCCAAAGATGGATGCGAATGTTTTGTTTGTTTGCTTTATTTTTTTTAAAATAACTATTATCTTGTTTTTTGTTTTCTTTGTTTGTTTGTTTGTTTGTTTGTTTTTTGAGACAGGGTTTCTCTGTGTAGCCCTGGCTGCCCTGAAACTCACTCTGTAGACCAGGCTGGTTTCGAACTCAGAGAACTCTGCCTGCCTCTGCCTCCTGAGTGCTGGGATTAAAGATGTGCACCACCACCTGGCTCGTTCGGGTTTCTAAAAAATACTTTTTATGCTCACCACACACATGCAGAAGCCCACAGAGGTCAGAAAGGGGCATCAGGTCCCCTGGACCTGGAGTTATAGGTGGTGTGGACCACCATCTGGGCACTGGGAACAGAACCTGAGTCCTCTGCAAGAGCAGCCAGTGCTCTTAACTGCTGAGCCATCTCTCCAGCTCCTGTCTTGTTTTGGGGGACAGGGTCTCATACGGCCCATGTTGACCTCAAATTTGCTGGGTAGCTGAGGCTGGCCCTGAACTTCTGATCCTTCCCTTGTTTCCCACATGCTGGGGGTCACTGGGGTGCACTGACATGGAAAATCCACTGAGGAAGCTTGCCAGCCCTTGCGAGTCTGGTCTCATCCAGCGGTGTGTTTGACCTGAGGCAGCGGCTGTGACTGGAGTTACTCTGAGTTAGTAAATTCAGCAAAGAAAGATGAGGGTAAATAACAAGGAAAAGAGAAAATTATTTCTGTACAGATAAGCCAACAAAGAAGACATTACCACACTGGTTGTGGTGGCACACTCCTTTAATCCAAACACCCAAGAGGCAGAGACAGCCAGATCTGTGTGAGCTCGAGGCCAGCCTGGTCTACGTAGTAAGTTCTGGGTGAGCCAGAGCTACACAGTGAGATCCCGTCTCAAAACAAACAAAGATTTAAGACACTGACTGTATGTTAGAGTCAAGCAGCTGAAGGGCAGGGGATGAGGCTCGGTTGGTAGGATGTTTGCCTAACATGAACAATGACCTGTATTCAGTTCTCAGCACTACATAGACTAGCCATGGTGGTGCAAGTCTGTAATCCTTGCAGGAAGATGAGGTCATTTATCTTCATTCAAGGCCATTCTTGCCTACATGGGAAGTTCAAGGCTAGCCTAGAATAAATGAAACCCAAGAAGGAAGAAAATGAGAGAGGAAGGAGAGACTTTTTTCATATCCAAGGTGTGGTTTATGGGGCTTTATCAATGCTCTGGGCAAGCAGGAAGCCAAGTGTACCAACTCCCCAAAGGAGAGAACTAGTGATGGGTGAGAATAATGAGTCACCTTCTTCTCTCAGCTGGCACCAAGAACTTGGTCACTGGGAGACTATCTTCTGTGTATGTGAGGGTATGCAGGCAATAAAAGGCTGGGGGACTATGGGACATTATCTAATTGTATTCATTTCCCCAGAGGCCCTCTGGGGAAGTTGCAGATTTCTAATTCAAAATATACATCTCTAGAAAGTCATGTTTTTATATCAGGTCAAAGATTGGCGGTAAGTACATTTGCTGTCAAAGGGGCTTTAGCGTCCTTGCCTTTGGGGAGGAAAATTAAAAAGAAGCTAAAATCAGAGGGATCATTTTTTTTTTTTTTTTTTTTTTGGTTTTTCGAGACAGGGTTTCTCTGTGTAGCTTTGCGCCTTTCCTGGTACTCGCTTTGGAGACCAGGCTGGCCTCGAACTCACAGAGATCCGCCTGCCTCTGCCTCCCGAGTGCTGGGATTAAAGGCGTGCGCCACCACCGCCCGGCCAGAGGGATCATTTTATGCAAGACCAAGCAGGGCAGAGCCAGCCCTCGATCAGCTCCTAGAGCACTTGGCTGTTTTAAAGCAAATGGAATGCATGCATGTGGACGGTGTATATATGCATAGCACAGATCCTAGCTGTTCCATGTGGGGGGTCCCTCCTGTGAGGCAGGTGCCTTTTAATTGCTTTTGAAGACTAGTCCTCATAAAAAAGATCTTAATAATAACTACTCTGTAGCTGAGAAACATGTAGCTTAAAGTCAGGCAGCTGAAGGGCAGGGGATGAGCCGCGGTTGGTAGGATGATGAAGCATTGATAAAGCCCCATAAACAGCACCTTGGGCCGGGCGGTGGTGGCACACGCCTTTAATCCCAGCACTCAGGAGGCAGAGGCAGGCGGATCTCTGTGAGTTCAAGGCCAGCCTGGTCTCCAAAGCGAGTTCCAGGAAAGGCGCAAAGCTACACAGAGAAACCCTGTCTCGAAAAACCAAAAAAAAAAAAAAAAAAAAAAAAAAAAAAACAGCACCTTGGATATGAAAAAAAAAAAATCCCTCCTTACCTCCTCCTTCTTTCCTTTTCCTCCTTCTTGGGTCTCATTTATTCCAGGCTGGCTTTGAACTCCCTATGTAGACAAGAGGTAACTTGAGAGCTGGTATTCAAATACAGAACAGCCTGCCTCCAGAGCCCACCACTGTCCGGCACACCCTGTTGGGTTTCTGACAATGCCAGAAGATTATAGGAAAGCCGGATGTTCAGATACACTGAGGAGCTTGCCTGCAGCCCTCCAGATAGTCACAGTGACCTTCTGACTTTAATCCCAGAACTTTTTTCTGCTATAGTGTACAAACCTTCTTAGGACAGGAAGGGAAACTGGGCTGGATGTATGTGCCTCAGAACTTTGGGTGCAAGGATGCTGCATGGTCCTCTCTCCCCCAGGCATTCCTGGAGAAATATGGATACTTCAATGAGCAGGGTTCGAAAGCTCCAGCCTCCACACAGTTCAGCAATGCCATCAGGTATGATGGAGGGATGTAAAGGGGTACAGGATACAGAGCTCCAACTTTCCCCTCACCCCCCCACCCTATCCCCCCACCCTCTCACCCCCCCCCCCCACCTCTGCAGTCCTTTCGCTCAATTCCTCCTGGCAGAGAGTTCCAGTGGGTGTCCCAGCTGCCCATCAGTGGCATGTTGGACCAGGCCACACTGCATCAGATGACACTTCCGCGCTGTGGGGTTGCAGACGCTGACAGTCATGCAGCTTGGGCAGAGAGGATCAGTGCCCGGTTTGCTGGACCCTGGGCCAAAATGAGACGTAAGAAACGCTTTGCGAAGACAGGTGAGTGCATTGAAATCCAATTAGGCTGGGATTCCCCGGGGCCCAGAAGAACCCAAAAAATGTGGCTGAGCTGATGAGTGGGGACTCTGGGAGAAAGCCTCTCTTGCCTCAGGCAGAAGAGGGGCGGATCCTTTGGCTCAAGGATCATAATCATGACTACAGATATTTAACTCTAAGTTATATCTGCATTGTTGAATTTTCATTGCACATGTATTCTCCAGATTAAATGCCATCAAGCCCACTTAATTCTCTGATCAATTTTCTACGCAGGGCAGTTAAACAATTGTCAATTTTTTTTCTTTATATTTTGTTGAAGTTATTTCCATAAGGATTGATTCTTTTCGTAACACTTATTCAACCAAGATGTGATCTGTTGACGCGAGTTTTATTCTGTTCATAGCACCTTTAAAAGAAAACAGTTTTATTTAAAAACAGTTTTATTTAAAGGGAATTCACATGCCATGCAATTTACCATTTAAAGTATCCATTTAAAGAGGGGTTTAGTATATCTGTGGAATTGTGCAACCATTACCACAAGCTAATTCCTCCTTCCAGAACATTTTCATTATCCTCTGAAGAAACCCCATGCCTGTTATCTGTTAACTCCCCATTGTGCCCCGCTGCCAGCCCTGGCAACCACTAATCTGCTTTGTGTCTCAGGGGACCCGCCTGTATTGAACATTTCGTCACAGTCCATTCTATACACCGTACAGTTTCTCCTGTTGGGATTTTTCTTGTTTTCTCTTTCCCTCTCCTCTTCCCCCTTCCTGCTCCTTTCTTTCCAGTGCTGGGACTGGAACCCAGGGCCATGAGTGATGCCACTGACCTACATCAAAAAGATTCTCCTCTCCCTCTTCCTTGCCTCCCTCCTCTTCTCTCTCCTCCTTCTCTCCCTCCTCCCCTCCTTCTCTCTCTTCCTCTTCTTTCTTCTGCTCCTCTTCTACCCCCCCAAATATTCCAGGGTCATTGCGACTCATCTATAGTTTATGAAGATTTGATTCTTCAATCAATCTTCCACAAATAGCGGTTTTGCTATGTAAAATTGTGGTATCATGATTGCTTTGACGAAGTCAGTTTTTCTTTGATCAATTTTTGCAGCTTTCAAAGTTGTTCGCAAGATGAGGTTTTTCTGTCATGACTTTCAAGTATAATTAATTTTACTGTGCACATATTGGATTGTGGCCACTCTTAATTGTGCTGCTTTTACTGACCTCACTCGCTGTACACAGGATTTGAACACACAGGATTTGTTTTCATTTCTTAGTTAATGTATAAGGAGATTGTGCACAGCTGCAGGGTGGCTGTTCCCAAGCACATGCTAGTCCATTTCTGCTGCATTTACATGCCCATCCACCCTGGCTGCCCTGTTCTGAATGACCATATTCATCCAGTCAGTTCTGGGGTCCTGGCACTGGGGTCAAGATGTCTGCGGTGTCAACCTGCTATACATCCCATTGTGTTTCTGGGCAGCAGAGAGGAAGAGTGAAGTGGGAAAGGGAAGGTACACATTCACAACAGGCCAGAACAGAGAGAACACTATTCCAGAGCCCGAGGCACTGGGTTCAAGTATCGGCTGTCATGACCAAGTTATGTCACTTGGTTCTGATCCCTCATCCTCCTTCATGGAGGAGTCAGGACTGCCTAGGTTGCAGAGGAGAGCCACCCAGGACTGTGGAGTGCAAGGGGCCTGTGAGAATGCTGTGGGAAGTGAGCAAGCCCGGAAGTACTTGAGCCTGAGCGCTGGGGATGTTTCCTTCTGGCTGCATCTCATCTTCTCCTGCCCCAAGGTAGGGTCTAACTGAGTGCATTCAGAGCTAGCAGTTTGAGTGCCTGCTTGCCAGATAAATGCAGGGTGCTTAGTTAAATTGGAACTTCAGATAAAAAATAGGTAATTGAATTTATGTTTTCTTATTCAAATTTTACTAGGCATCCTGAATTCATATCTGCTGCATCTGCCAACCTCAGGCCAAGTACCTGCTCCTCTCTGTGCCTGCAGGGCTTATTTCTAACCCCCCTGTTACTTCACAGAGTTGGTAGGTTGGGGACCGGGGTGTGCATCTGAGTTGAAAAAGGAAATCAAAGCTAATGCGCATGTTCTAAGCCCCCACCACATTTTAGGCAGCTTCACAATGCTGTTCCAAAAGGTAAGCCTTATCAACCCCACCGTACAGAGCAGGAAACTGAGGCTTGGAGAGATTCCACAACTCCCGAGAGCTTGCATGTGCAGGATCACAATTTCAGCCTATACCCTTTCCTATCATCAGTTCCCTGCTGGGAGTCAGGACTCCACAGTCCTTCTAACCCAACTTCTAGCTTTCCTGTCCCTGTCCTCCTTAGAGTCTTCTCTTCCCTCTTCCCATTGGGACCCTGGAGAGAGGGCATAGAGGGCAATACTGCATTCTAGGGGCCTGCAGTCACTATGAAAAGCAGTCCTGCCCAGGCTGGACTTGAGATTAGAGCCTGAAACAGTCAGCCTTCTCCTGGGGACCAAGGTAGAAGAGGACAGGGGAGCAGGCTAGTGCTGCCCCTACCCACACAGACAGGCAGTTCCTTCCTTCCTGGTCCCTCCCAAGGAAAGCACTTTTTTTTTTAAATTTTTTTTTCTTCGCAATTCCTGTTCCTATTTACTATCTCTACCCTTTCCCCACCTCATTCCCCACTTCACAGAGGAATTTTTTTCTTGAGAACCTGTTACCTTCACTGGCTACTAAAATGACTTCTACCCTCCTTCTTTCCTGCCTGGGGGGTTCATGGGGAATGACAGGCCATAACTGCAGAAGGAGCCACCCCAGACCATTTGCTAGAGGGTTAAAGGTTTGGTGATGGCGGTCGGGAAGAGTCCGAGATTCGGTCATGCACACCAGGATGTAGGAGAGCCCAGTGCACGCTGCTCTGTGCCCTGTGAAGACTTACAGGAAGCAGCATAGTGTTCTTGGGAAAGAACGAGCTGTTCTGGGTGGACACCTCTGGACCCCCAGCCTTGCCTCCACCTTCCCTGTCTCCCTCCCTCCCTCCCTCAAAATAATTCCCTCTTCACTCCCTGAGGACTGGTCACTGGCTGAGAGGCAGCGGCTGGGTGCCTGCCAGGCCAAACAAGCCAAAGGAGATGCATTGCCTTGAATGGAGCGGGGCACACCCCACCCCCACTTCCATGGGTGGAGAGGGCCAGAATAAACCTCCCTCCCATCGTGGGGGCTGGGGAGAATCTCAGCCCTTGCTAAGCTTTGACCCGATCCAATAGTGTTTAGGCAGCTTTATAGGCCTGGCATCTCTGCAGAGAAAGCTGCTTCTCTCTGTGGACTGTAGGGGCCCTGGGCCAGGGGTCGGGCCCCAGCTCGGCTCCTCTCGCACTCTGCAGCTGTGGGCAGGTGCCTTCCCCTGGGTCACAGTCATCCAAGTCTGGGCCTGGGGAATCTTGCCTGTGAGCTCTGAGGCTTCCATTTGGGATTTTTAGTCTCTGAGCTACAGGGCTCAGAGGCTGCCCCTGACAAACTCAGAAGCCCGACTTTCTGCCTTCTCTGTTCCTGGCTGATGGCAGACTGCAGATGGGTCCAGTGTCATGAATGACCTGGGGCTGTGGCGGAGGCCAGACTCCCAGCCCTCAGGGAGGAACTGAGGTTTGGGGCAAAGGGAAAGAAGCTTAAGTAAGAGGAGATGGAAAACTTTTCCTGGGCCTGTGACAAAACACACCCTTTGTTCTTACTTGTCTTCAACTCAGAGGTCTCGGAGTCCCTAAGGGAACAGGGAGGGGGTCAAGGGGGCAGGGAAAGACCTCACATATATGGTTATTTTGGTTGTTGGCCAGCCACAGGCCCTAGGTTCTGGCAATTGCAGGATCTCTGGGAGGGGACAGGAGACCATGAGGGTAGAGGGAGCGCCTTGGGGCAGGCACAGCTGTGACCTCAGTGGTCCCACTGACTCTCCCTCCGAGACCAGGGCTTCAGATTGATCTTGAAAGAGGTCTTTTCTGGGCAGAAACTCTATCTCTATCATCAGCCGGTGCCTCTCAGGCCACTAGATTGGAGACTCTCCAAGGGAAGGGTAGTCTGTCCAGGGGGAGAGCTCCCTTCCGCAGGGACATATCTTTCCTCCTATCAAATGGGAGGCCGCTCAAGGCAAGGACTAAGTGTTCCCTATCAGATCAGGGGCTCCCTGGGGCAGAGCCAACCCATCCTACTGGGCCTGTGGGGACAAGCCTCAGCAGCAAGTATGACTCTCATGGCCTTTCTGGGTGACAGGTAACAAATGGTACAAGCAGCATCTCTCCTACCGCCTGGTGAACTGGCCTGAGCGCCTGCCCGAGCCAGCTGTGCGAGGGGCCGTGCGAGCTGCCTTCCGGTTGTGGAGCAATGTGTCAGCGCTGGAGTTCTGGGAGGCCCCAGCCACAGGCCCTGCTGACATCCGCCTCACCTTCTTCCAAGGGGACCACAATGATGGGCTAGCCAACGCATTCGATGGCCCAGGTGCTGCCACAAAGCCTCTGTCCACACAGCAAGAGGGGCACCTGGCTAGGAGGGCAGGCAGCCTGGGGGTGGCAGTGGAGTTTCTATTCTTGAAACCATGGCCAAGCCAGGTTCTCCCCTCCCCCCCCCACCCAAGGGCCCTCCGTCTCCTCATCTGTAAAATGGGAACAGCAGCCTCTGCCCAAAATGTACCACATGGTTGAAAGAACAGCCAGATGAGGTTTGGTGTGGAAAGCACTTTGGTAACTCTAGAGTATGCTGGATTCTTGGAGAACATTCTGAGAGTCTGTCTGCCTGCTTCTAGACAGGCCTGTGCTTCTATCGTTCTCCATACTAGACTCTCATTAGATTTCCAGAGGACATCATCAGCCCTTTTCTCCCCTTGCCCCCAGACAACCAGCGCAAGAGGCCTTTACCCTGGCACTTACAGAAATGCTTCACAGATCCCAGCCACAGCTGCTCCCATCTGTCCTCAGCCTGCAGGCTTCCTCTTCAGTATAAGCCCATCTTCCCTTGTGCTCAGCACTGGCCTTCGGGGTCTGAATATGGGCCGTTCATGCACTCTAGTGAGAGCTAAGCAGAGCGGACAGCGCATCCAGGGAACACGAATTCCTCCTGCATTTGACAGGCTCTGCCTCCACCTTTGTCAGCCCTGCCGACCGGGGCTCCTAGACGGCCGTGCTGGAAGGACTCTTGATGAGCCTTCTAGGCTCACATTATCACAGTGCTGTTGGTTAACCTCTATCAGGGACACGTGCCTTAGCGTAGGTAGATATGAGGGGGAGGACCTGAAAGCTACCTATCTAATCATGTCTGTGGGGACCGCTATACACCTGTGAGACTCACTGAGGAGCTTAACTCCTTTGCTCACTCCTGTGATGGTAGGGAGAGAGGCCCACAGAGGGACCCTGGCAGAAGACAGGAACACAAGAATATGTGTGTTTATAAAAAAAAAAAAAAAAAAAAAAAAAAAAAAAAAAAAAAAAAAAAAAAAAAACATATACACCAGCCAGGTGTGGTGGCATGTACTTGTGACCCCAGCACTCTGGTGGCCGTGACACTGGAGGGATGGCTCAGGGTTGCACAAGTGTGAGGACCTGAGTTCAGATTCTCAGCACTGGGGGATGGAGACAGGAAAATCTTGGAGGCTCACTGGCCAGCCAATCTAGGCAAAATAGCAAGCTTTAGGTTCAATGAGAGGCCCTGTCTCAAAGGGAAAAAAAAAAAAAGAGGTGGAGGAGGCTGGAGAGATGCTCAGTGGTTAAGAGCACTGGCTGTTCTTCCAAAGAACCTTGAGTTTGGATCTCATCATCTCATGCCGGCAGGCTCACTTTGTAACTCTAGTTTCAGGGGATCTGACGCCCCCTTCTGGCATCTGAGGGTACCAGGCACACATGTGGTACACAGACATACATGTGAGCTCAAATACTCATACACATAATAAAATAATAATTTAGCTGGGTGTAGTGATGCACACCTTTAATTCCAGCACTTGAAAGGCAGAGGCAGGCAGAGGCCAGCGTGGTCTACATAATGAGTTCCAGGACAGGCAGGGCTACATAGAGACACTCCCTCCCTCATAAAATAATTTAAACGTTTTAAAGGTAGAAAAGTGACTGAGGAAAGACATCCCAACATCAACCTCTGGCCTGCACAAGTGAGCACCCCTGCAACACACACACACACACACACACACACACACACACACACACACACACACACAGCCAGCATAATAAGACCCTGTTGAAAAGAAGTGGGGTGGGCGTGAGATGGCTCAGTGGATGAAGGTGTTTGCCTCACTCTCAAACCTGCATGCAGACTGTTTGATCCCCGGGACCCACGTGGTAGAAGATGAGAATTGAGTCCCTCAGATTGTCTTCTACGTGACACACTTGACACACACACTAAAAATAATAATAATAATAATAATAATAATAATAATAACAAAAAAACAGGGTCTCACTATGTAGCCCGGGCTGGCCTTGAACTCTCTTTATAAACCAAACTGACCTGGAACTCAAAGAGATCCAGTCTGCCTTTGCCTCCTGAGTGCTGGAGGTTAGAGGCGTGCCCAACCATGACCAGCCATAAAAACGACAAAAACTTTTTTTTTTTTGAGACAGGGTTTCTCTGTGTATCCCTGGTTGCCCTGGAACTGACTATGTAGACCAGGCTGGCCTCGAACTCACAACGACCCTCCTGCCTCTGCCTCCCAAGTGCTGGGATTAAAGGCATGGGCCACCACCGCCTGGCTCAAAAACTTAAAAAAAAAAATGTGCATACACGTAGAAGCACATTGTGTTAAGTTTGCCGGCTCCTGAACACAACACACCACGCACCCAGGTCAGGAAACAGCATAAAACCTTCCCGTCCCTCTTCTAGGAGTAACCAATATTAATAATGCCTAGGCTAGGCACCGTTCTAAGAATCAAGTGTGACACACGCACGTTCCTGTGAGGAAGAAGCTCTTCATTACCATACCGATTTTCAGATCAGGAAGCTTAGCACAGAGAGATTAAGCTGTCTCCCCGAGCTCACACAGGTAGCAAACGGTAAATCTAGTGTTGGAGCCCAGGCAGTTTGACCCCTAGCTGAGTCTACAGTGTACTTCCCGCAAGAGTCCACCGCTTAGTCATCTGCTCACCTCCCGCACTCCTGCAGCTATCAGACTGGGAAGGGAAGTTAGTGGATGACAGCCGCACCCCCGACGTGGGAGCGCGGGGTCTGGGAGGGAGCCCCTGGTCTCGGCTCGCCCTAACCCTCGGTGCCACGCTCGCAGGGGGCGCCCTGGCGCACGCCTTCCTGCCCCGCCGGGGCGAAGCGCATTTCGACGGAGATGAGCGTTGGTCCCTGAGCCGCCGCCGCGGGCGCAACCTGTTCGTGGTGCTGGCGCACGAAATCGGCCACACGCTCGGTCTCGCGCACTCGCCCGCGCCGCGCGCGCTCATGGCGCCCTACTACAAGAAGCTGGGCCGCGACGCCCTGCTCAGCTGGGACGACGTGCTAGCGGTGCAGAGCCTGTATGGTGAGCCCCTAGCCCGCTACTGGCTCTACCCTTGTGTCCCCTAGGGTCTTCAGTCCTCGGTCTCTGGCTCCTCAAATAGGATTCCCCGTCCCCGTCCTTGCTGCGATCCTTCTCTGTCCTAAAGCCCCAGGCGCCCTTGAAATCTGAATATCCGCAGACTTTGCTTTTCCCCAGTTCTCTATCAGTTCCAAGCAATTCCTGCGTGTAAACCTTTGCCCTTAGCTCAAAACCCTTTGTTTGGTCTCCCAATCTCATGTTATCTCTTTTCCTGGGCTGTTGGGTGGGAGAGGAGATTCCAGGGTTAGTGTGCTCTTGGTTAAAACCAAACAACCAGAGCTGCACTTGCCCCTCCCTTCTCTTTCCTAGGGTCTCAGATCATGGGCAGAGTAGAGGGAAGGGTCTTGAGTCCTCCATATACGCCCACCCACGTCTGCTATCTCTCTTCTTGGATTTTAAGGGAAGCCTCTGGGACGCTCAGTGGCCACCCAGCTCCCCGGAAAGCTATTCACTGACTTTGAGGCTTGGGACCCTCGCAACTCCCGGAGGATACGCCCCGAAACCAGAGGTCCTAAATACTGCCACTCTTCCTTTGATGCCATCACAGTAGGTAAGATGGTCCCAGCCATGCCTGGTGTCTTTTTCCCCTCCTCCACATCTCTAGGGGTCCCAGAGCTGAATGACATGGTGTGGGGAATGGAGGTATCAAGAATATAAATATCCGGAATCACGTGCTTTCCGGGGTGGAGTTGGGGGTGAGGGGGGGTCCAAGCTCAGGCCCAGCACAGAACTGCTGCTTCTCTCAACCCCCATTGTGCGCCCCACGTTCAGCTTGTCTAGAAAACCGGGTCTAGAGCATCATCCTCCCCCAAAGTCAGCAGGAGGCCAATGGCCTTTCCTCACATCTCCTCTTGGGACAGATGGACAGTGGCGACTGTACGTCTTCAAAGGAAGCCACTTCTGGGAAGTCACAGCTGACGGCAATGTTTCAGAGCCCCGTCTCCTACAGAAAAGGTGGCCTGGGCTGCCTCCCAATGTCGAGGCAGCTGCAGTGTCGCTGGAAGATGGAGACTTCTACTTCTTCAAAGGTATCAGCCCTGAGTCAGCTGAGATTAAGATGGAGGTGCTCCCCAACAATGAGTCCCTGGGGGGACTCATTCTTGAACCTGTGGCCCAGGAAAGTTGGAGTTGGGAGCAGCAAGTGTCCACCAGGTTGTCCCGTGTAGAAACGTGTAGGGGGAGGACTGACTGATCTCCAGTCTGCAGGTCAGCAGAAAGTCTGGAGGTGTCTGCCCTGGCAGCCTGGCCGTGTGAGGTTGGCATGCCACTTAGCTTTTGGAACTTGCATTCCTTGGATAGGGAAAGTAACACTCAGGTGTGATGAGGAAGTCGGATAAAAGGCACTGACTGAAGGGTGGGTGGCACACATCTGGACCTGTGGTAATACTGTATTGAACAGCACTCCTTCAAACAGTGCTGAGTACCTTGTGTCCTAGGCACACACGAGAGGGAGGGACTGGAGACACAGTGGTCGGCAAAACAAACACCTTTGCCCTCGAGGAATTATTAGTAGTCAGGGAGTGATGAAGCCCTCTCAATCTCCCATTCCACACCAAGGCAGGGAATCCTGCCTCCACACCCCTCCCCAACACCCTCCTACCCTCTCCAGCCTGGGATAAATGGGTTCATTCTGCTCTCTGCTGGCACCTGCTGGGAGTCTAGACCATAGCAGGTTCCCCTCCAAGGTGTACTCCTAGTTCTTAGCAACACTTGGACTGGCTCTAAGGGGAACTAACTGTCTTGGGCTCTTAGAAAGGAACTAAGGGGACAGAGATGGGGTGGGAAGGCCGATGAGTGAGCGCCTCCAGCTCACCCTGGCTCTCTTAATGCCCCACAGGGAGTCGATGTTGGAGGTTCCAGGGCATGAAGTCTGTGTGGGGTAACTCAAAACTGTGCCAGGCTGGAGGTCTGCCCAGACACCCGGACGCAGCTCTCTTCTTCCCGCCTCTGCGCCGCCTTGTCCTCTTCAAGGGCGCCCGCTACTACGTGCTGGCTCGAGGCGGGAAGCAAGTGGAGCCCTACTATCCTCGCAGCCTGAGGGACTGGGCCGGGGTCCCTGAGGAGGTCAGTGGCGCCCTACCAAGGCCGGATGGCTCCGTCGTCTTCTTCAGAGATGACCACTACTGGCACCTGGATCAAGCCAAACTGCGGGTGGCCAGCTCCGGCCGCTGGGCCACAGAGCTGCCCTGGATGGGCTGTTGGAATGCCAACTCAGGAGGTGCCCTGTTCTGAAGGCGCCCCATGCTGAATGAACAGTGGTTGCCCCCGCCCAAGGGGCGGGACCTGTCTAGGGAGTCTTGAACCTCGCAGGAACTTCCCACTATCACTGGGCTCAGCAGGAAATCGGCATTTATCTCCCCCCCACCCCCCGCCTCGTGGTCGAAGGAGAAACGAAAATAGGGTTCCCATAGCCCTTTCCCTCAAGGACCTCCTTCCTTCCCACTCCTGAGGGGATTCTGTTCTGATGAAGGTGCGGTCCCATGCCCGTAGTGCTGAGTCCCACCAGAGAAGATGCAAAACTCAACTGGGGGTGAGGACCACTCTGCAGGACCTCCCTTTCTATGCCTTTCAGGCTCAGTTCTTGGGAAATCACGTATTATTCCATCAGAGACCTCACCCTACTTCCCACGCCCAGCAAGTTTGGATGTGGTGAAGGCTCCTCTCCACTGTCAGGGGCCCTTTGCTGGATCAAGAGGCAGAGCAGAAGGGAATGTGGTCCTCTTAGGCCTGACTTCTTGTCTGGGGTGATGAAGAAGTACCCCTAGCTGGTCAGCCCGGAGGTGTAGCAGCCTTCCTTGGGCAGCCTCAGTAGAAGCAGATGAGTGTGGGGCGCTTGAGACACGGGGACCATGCTCTTACATCCAACTAAGGGACAACCAGCTGCGTATGGTTGTCATGGAGGGGGGGGGGGCGCACCTCTCTTCAAAAAGCAGACCATCTTCACCAGTTTGCCTTCCAGATGGCAGAGGGTCCTTCGGGGTCTGACCATTGCAGGCACTGGGAATACAGCCTCCATAGTGCTCTGCAGGTTGGGTGAGGCCTGTTTGCTCTCAATGGCCCCATTCTCCAGGCCACACACGCAGCAGCATTCCAAAGTTCATGCTGTCTAGCCAAGAATAGCTGGGATTCCTGGAGAAGGAACCAGCTCCCCAGCTTTCCCCTTTTGTCTGAGCCAGTCTTGGTATTAATTTTAGCATCTGGATCTCCATCCCACCCTGCCTCCCCCTCCATCTCCACCTACCAATGCCTCTGCGAGCGCGCGAGCGCGCGCGCGCGCGCGCACACACACACACACACACACACACACACACACACACACACACACAGTGACCACCGAGAGCCAGCTCTCAGGGAGGGGAGAACGATTTGGCAGGGGGGCAGCCCACAGTTCCCCAGAGGCATTGCTGGCCCTGTGCCCTCCTTTCTTCTCTGTGCAGTGGACAGAATGGCCTTTGACTGCCCTTAGATGCAAGTGCTTTGTACTGCCCTGTCCTGGGGAGACCATGGAGGAACCTCCCTGCTATCCCCTGCTTTCTGGGTTGTACTCGGGAGAGAGAAAGGAGGGTCCCATCTTTATCACCCCACTCCACTTCAGGCGACTCTGATTTGAGACTTTATTGAGGGATTAGAGGGAAAGAGGTAATTTCTTAAAGGGCAGAGGGAACCCCGAGGCTGTTTTTCTCAAGGCGATGCCTCTGTTCGCCTGGCCAGAAAGACACGAAAAAGATGCAGGTGAGGCTGTATTGGAGGCGTGGGTCAGGAGAGCTGTAGATGTTGGGTACTGTCTCTGGAGGAGTGTCTAGGTTCTGCTGTGGTTCGGCGGCGAGACAACAGGTGTGAACGGACAGTGGGCCTTTTCACCGGAAGGAGGAGCCAAGGACTGCAGTTTGAAAGGACAGCTCTGTGGAACGCACTAGAGATAGAAGAGTTTGGAGCTTTGTGGGTGCAGCGGCTGGGACTGGATGCGCTCAGAGCTCCCGGCGGCCTCTGCCTTACCCGGGTCAGGGTGCTCCAGAATACAGTGCTCTATGTAGGCCGGGTGGCTATGCAGGCTCTTGCATTTCTTGCAGAAAAGGATCTCGCAGCGCGCACAAACCCCGTGGCGCGGTGGCCGCCGCCGCGTCTCCAACACGCACGGTTCTTCCGGGGCACCACGCTTCCTATGGGCCGGGGACGTGAGTGCTCAGTAGCCCTGAGGCCCTCCTCCCTAAAACTCGGCCCCGGGTGCTTGCGTCTCACCTGTCCGCAGGGGCCGCCAGGCCACCCAGCAGCGCGAACGGGCTGAGCCAGCCCCAGAAGCCGCTGTCCGAGCGTCGCAGCAGCGCCACCTGCTGGGTACTGGGCTCCTGGCGCAGCGGGCAGTAGCACACCGAGAGGGCCTCGCGCTCCTCCGCATCGCGGGCGTCCTCCTCGACCTCCGCTGTGCTCTCGGGGTCCCGCTTCTCCACCTCCGACGATGACGACGACGACGACGACTCGTCCTCCGGCTCCTCCTCTCTGGGCTCGGGCTCCTCCACCTCCTTCTTCCACAGAGGGGTCTTCACGCCTGCAGGCGGGGAGGGGGAGCCTGAATCCAGCATGCCTGGGGGAGATGCCGCCGTCCAGCTGCTGCCTGCCAAAGGGCTTCGGAGTCCCAGATTCCCGGACTGCGGCCAAGTTCCCGCCCTCCTGAGCTTCCTTGCTAAGGATTCCAAGCAAGTCACCTCGCTTCCATCAAGCTCCATTTTTTTTTTTTTTTCCGTCTCTGAAGCGGGAAAAGTAGCACCTACCTCAAGAGTGGTTGTGAGGCTGACTCTAGATAGTGTCTGGGTAAAGCACACAGTTTCCTGCTTGCCGTTGTGCAAGCAATCAACGAACATATATTGCCAACACGGAAGGGGGAGGGTTACCCAACGTTAATAAACATCAATTGTTATTTCAATAGGTGGTCGTTTATGGGTTGTTGTTGTTGTTTTTTTTTTAAAAAGGTAGTTCTCATAATAATTTTCTTCTTCTTCTTTTCTTCTTCTTCTTCTTCTTCTTCTTCTTCTTCTTATTCTTATTATTCTTATTATTATTATTAATTATTAATTATTACACAGTCTCACTATGTAGCTCTGTCCGACGAGGAAACTCACTATATAAACCAGGCTGGCCTGGAACTCACAGAGCTCTGCCTGCCTCTGCCTCCTGAGTATGTTTGTTTCTAGTTTTGACTTTCCCTGGTGGTAGGAAGCCCAGGGTCACTGCAGGCCGGGTGGACAGGCATAGCTGACTAAACCGGAAACTGATCTCAGGCTCGACCAATTGCGAGTGGATTTCAGCCACACTGCCCCTCTCCAGCTGACTGACATCCTAACTGCAAGCCGCAGATCGGCCTGAAGCAAGTCCCTCAGCTGAAACTAAGCAGGGCTTCCCTGGAAGGTGTCCACTCCATCAGCAGATATTCACCTTGCACATAGGCAGCCCCAGGACAGCTGGATTTATAGTGCAAAGAGGGGGGCAGCCCCTGGGGTTTGCCCTGGAAAGACCAAGGACAATTTCTATCGCCCACTGCCCATCTTTTCCCCAAGCTAGGAATTGACTAGACTGATAGTAAAGGGCAAGAAAGCTTGTGTGTGTGTGTGTGTGTGTGTGTGTGTGTGTGTGTGTGTGTGTGTGTGTGTGTGAATCTTAACTGTTAAATTGACAGGATCAAAAAACACCTAAGAGAGTTTGTGTGAAAGGGTTTCTAGGTTGGTTTAACTAATGTGTGAAGACCCACCCTGAATATGAGTGACACCATCCCATGGGCTAGTCTGGGACTGAATACAAAGGAGAAAGCAAGGTGATCTGTTTTCTGGGTGCAGACACCATGTGACTTCATGCTCCTGCCACCGTGATTTCCCCATCACAAGGGACTGCACCCTCAAACTGGGAGCCAGGATAGCGCTTTCCTTCCTTAAGCTGCTTGCTTGTGTTGGGTATTGTCACAGCAAGGAGGAGAGCAAGTGACCGCCTAGCACCACGTACAAGCAGCCCACGCGCTCAGCTCTTCACGGTGCTGCATGATCCCGGAGTCTGTAATGTGGGTGACGTGGTGGGTCACAGAGGGGTCTCTAAATGTGACCGAGAATATCTGAAACTGCCCATTCTTGCTCTGGCCGCAGGTGGAGACCCAGGGAAACAGATGGAGACGCTGGTTGTGAAAGGCCAGGCCTAACACATCCAGAGGGAGGTGCTGGGACATTTTGGGAAGGGGGGGAGGGAATGGGGTTAGAAAGGGAGGTTAGGACCTGGAGCTGTTTGTCACTGACAAGAAGCCGTGAGTGTTCTGATGGAGAGACATGCTCAGCACCGTAGAATGTTCCCTCCAACAGGACAGGGGACTCATTTTAAGAGTCATGACAAGCTAGGTGGTGGCTCATGCTGATGATATCAGCACTTGAGAGGCTGCAGCAGGGTGATTGCTGAGAGGTCAGGCCAGCAGCCTGTGCTATGTAATGGGTCCCAGGCAAACCTGGGCTACAATCTGAGTCCCTGTCTCAACCTCCTGCACTCTAATTTTTTTGGGTTTTTTTAGTTTTTATTTTTTAATATTTATTTCTGAGACAGGTCCTCACTATGTAGCTCTGGCTGTTCTAGAAATCACTATGTAGACCAAGCTGACCTCAAATGCGCAGAGATCTACCTGCCTTTGCTTCCTGACTGCTGAGATCAAGAGCATGTGCCACCATGCCTGGCCCCCCTCCACTCTGAAACAGGTCTTTACTGTGGGGTGAAAAGGGCTGAGGAAAAAACTCCCTGTACCTCACTAGAAAAAAACTCCCTGACTTGACCTCAGGACCAGAGCTTGAAATCCCTGAGCTTGCCCCAGAGTCAGGCTGCAGAATCCCACCAATCCCCCGAGCTTGCCCCAGAATCAGATCACAAAACCCCACCAACCCCAAGCCACCCTGGAAAGCTCCACCTCCACCCCCCAAGAAGCCTATGTAAGCTCTGTACCCTGTTCAGTTTGCTGCTGCTTCTCACCCTAGGGACGGCCACCCTCCTGGATTCTTCCTGTCCAGCAAATCTCTTGAGTGAGGTTTGTTGCACCATGTGACATTTTCTCAGGAGTGGAGTCTAGCTATAACAACTTTCTTTGGAGCCAGAGCAGAGTAGAGCGGAACAGAACTGCAACACTTTCACTGGAGAAACTTTCCCTTAGCTGAGCAGAGCTGTAACACTTCTCCAGAGCAGAGCAGAGCAGAGCAGAGCAGAGCTGTAACAATTCAGCTGGGGAAACCCACCCCTGCCTGAGCAGAGGTGTTACATTGGGAACCTTTCCCTGGAGCAGAGCTGTAAGCTGCTACGCTTACAGTGACGTGGCTTCTGACTGCCAGAATACCTCTCTATCCAAGCTGCGATGCTTACACTTACATCCAGGCCAGAGAAGACAGAAAGAGGTCTAAAAGGGAACAAGAGAAAGGAGAACTGACGGTGGATGACAAGAATATTTAGGAAGGAGAAAGTAGAGGGCTATAGCAACATGGATGAGTAACTGAGAAAATGTTCAATTTTTCTAATGTCACCATGGTGATGGGATGGTTCATCCAAGATGGGTCAAGTGGTCCTATCTTGGTTCATACCCTGTCTAGCCCCACTCACCATGCTTATCCATTCTTTCTAATGTTGTACTTTCTGTTTCCTCTGGTCAGGGACTGGGGTGTAAGGGATGCCCAGTGCCTATAGAACTCCATACGGTTTCCAGGACCTCTGTTGGATCACAGAGGGGTGGGGATAGAATCTCAGCTGCCTATAGGGCTCTGCTTAGGGACTGATGCCTTTTCCAGAACCTCCAGGCTCAAACCCCTCATGTCCCCTACTTTGCCCCAAGGAGGACCCCAATGAAGAATAGAAGATGGCTTTGGCCCCACATAAGACTGGGTTCGAATCCCAGCTCTACTGCATAAATGTAAAACCTGTCAGACCTTCAGCAAAAAACATTTTACAGGAACAGTTCAGTTAGGCCTGCTGGAGGCGACACCTAGATGTGGGCACCGGGAGTCATCTCCTTGAGTCGTTCCCTAAGGCCCAGTATCCTTTGGCAGGCACACCTGAGCCAACAAAACCCAGCCTGTGACTTAGGAAACATTCTAAGACACAAATGTCCCAAGGACCAGTTGCTCATCTCACCTGTCTCCCTAGACCCGATCCACCCAACAGCCTTTTGTCTGTCGCTTTTCTCAGGGTAATTCCGGAGTTTATGGAATTTTCTTTTTTAATGGGGGGCGGGGCACTGGAGAGATGGCTCGGCCGTTTAAGAGCATTTGTTGCTCTTGCAGAGGACCCTGTTTGGTTCCCAGCACCCACATGGTGACTCTACAACTCCATTTCTAGGGGATCTGGTACCACCTTCTGGCCTTTGCAGGCACCAGGCACGCACGTGGAGCACACATTTACATGCAGGCAAAAAAAAAAAAAACATACACATAAGATAAAAATAAGTCTTTAAAAAATTTTTAGAGTGTCATAAAAATAACACTAGCATAAAATCATGTCAGGACTTGTTCTCAGAATAAAAACAGTCACAGAATAAAAACAGTCTTAAGTGAAAACATGTGAGGAAACAATCTTACCAGAATATGGGGTACATGCTTCCTGCACTTAAGTGCCACTCAGAAACCCCCTGGAGAGGAGGCCCCCCCATTAGGAATGAATAAAAACTTGGAATGGGCTGCTCTCCATCCAAAGAAAGGGAAGAGAATGAGCTGCATTTATGGACAAACCCAAGCACTACTTCCTGCTGTCCACAGAGTTTATGCCCAAAGAGCAAGGTGAGGCCGGATATCAAAAGGTGAATCACACCTGTGACTCCAGCATGCGGGAATCTGAGACAGAATGATTGTGAGTTTGAGGCCAGCCTGGGCTATATATGAGACCCTGATGTGTGTGTGTGTGTGTGTGTGTGTGTGTGTGTGTGAGAGAGAGAGAGAGAGAGAGAGAGAGAGAGAGAGAGAGAGAGAGAGAGAGAGAGAGAGAGAGAGAGAAGGAAAGAGGATAGGTTGGTACAATATCTATCTTACTTGACAACACAGATAACTTTAAATTATCCAATAGGGTCGCAGTTGCCTCTGTTGGGACCATCTGGAACATCCTAGCTTGTGCAGAGAAAGGGAGTAGAGTGGGGTTTTGGAAGGTTGCACATGCATCAGCTAAAATGTATCTGCCTGGTCAAAGATTAAAACGGTTAACTAGCAATGGCTCCAATTTCATACCACTGATTCACTCAATGAGCCAGAGGTAGAGGATGCAGGGCTGGTTCCATGTCCTGATGACATTGTTACCGGCCACAGGCATCATCAGATTCTATGGCTTGTGCTGAGAACTCTGGAAATAGACAACTCTCTGTCACTGAAGCTCCTTCTGCCACAGGCTGGTGTGGGTGTCAGACACTCCCTCCTCTTTCTCCCCTCCCCTTGCCTTCCCTCCCCCTCAGCTGGCCAGCCACTGGCCTTTCCTTCTGTGCCCCAATTCAGGCATTTCCCTAGATCCAGATTACACTGAATTCTGGGGGAATCACCTGTTCCTTCCACAGTCCCTAGGAACCTGCTAGGATTCCTGTCCTAAGCCTGTTTGTTTTCTAGGAGGACCCACTGAGCAAAATCTGAGACATCATCTCTCCATCCTCCCAGACACAAGTGGCCCTAGGAAACAAGCACATGCTTGCTATTCAACTGTCCAGAAGGCCTGTGATTTCAGCACAGCCATCGGTCCCTGTTCTTAAGGTGGAGCGGCACTAAAGTCACCTGCTACCTGGCCCTGAGAGTCGGTGAGCTGGCAGTGCTGGAGAGAGGAGCATGTGGCTTCTAGGGGGAGATCAGGAAAGGGATTCAGGACAAGACCAGTCTCCTGGGCTTGAAGGATGCCTATGCATGTCAGTAGGGGTTTTAGCCATCAGCAACCGAAA